GAAAGAAAAGTAAATCTGTTTACATTTCTGTTTTATATGGGTGTTCAAGAAGAATTGGGAGGGATGAAGCCCTCTTTAATGGTCACACATGCAGAGCACACAGCACACACAGTGAAATGTGTTCTCTGCTTTTAACCCATAGTACCAGGAGAGTCTAGTACTAGGAGCAGTGGGCAGCTATTGTACAGCGCCCGGGGAGCAATGGGAGTGAGGGGGGAATCGGGATGTCCGGTGCCTTGCTCAAGGGCACCACGGCAGGGCAGGAGGTGAACTGGGACCTCTCCAAGTAGAAGTCCACACTCCAAATGTAGGTCTGGTCGGGGACTTGAACCGGCGACCCTACGGCTCACAGTCCAAGCCCCTTCTGAATGCCATAGATTTAGTCACAAATTTTGCTCTCAGAGTGCACCAGATTGATGCCTTTAACTTCAATATTTAAAAAATCTTCCCGGGGGAGCTTACCCCCGGACCCCCCTAGAGAAGGTGAGGTCCACCACCTGCCCACAACCCCTGTTAAATTGTATCACCCACATTGAGGATGCTTCCTACTGCATGTTTTATTCCATGTGTCAAGTCAGGCAAATTGGGTCAAAATGTTATTGCATCAATGATCTGTTAACATTAAAATCACTAAATATATGCTGTAACTATTTTGCTCTAGGCAACTCAAGGGCTCAGGTAATGTGATTACTATATGCATAATTCTCCAAAATAACATAAAATGCATAGGGTTTTTTGTTAAGTAACATACTTTCGTCGCCGGCCGGCCGATACATGCCGCACATTAAGTGGGCCTGTCTGTCAATTAATCCCCGGGCCACTTTTTCCCCCCAGTCCGCCCCTGCTTCCAAGGGACGAGCCGCGAGGGAACCATGCGGCAGAGTTTCCGACAAAATAAGAAAAGTGCCGCTCAGAGGTGTTCTTTGTTATTTATTGAGCTTTAAAACAAATTGATAACGAATCTATATAATAATACAAGAAAAATAAACGGAGCCTCTCTTTTCCTCCCCCTCTTCTGGCAGCCCAGCAGCTGATCTTTGAGCAGGAGGTGGGGAGAGGGAGGGGGGGGAAGGAGCTCCAACAAGCCGTTTAGGACAGAGAGTGAATACACATACTATACAAAGATGCTGAAACCAATGTGAGTTTGGAACATTGCACAATATAGGCTACATTTATTTTAGTATACCTCAACAATGGAATTATGATCAGTAGAAATGGCCATGACATGGGACCTTTTAAGCATTTTCAAGTGTCAAGAATAATTTACTTACATTGGATTGATTTTTCCAACTTAGGCGATATACCTCTAGTGAGTGGCCCAGCCCTTCGTATATTTTTCTGTATGTTACTCTCGGTGAAAAAAGTTTGGACACCCCTGCTGTAGCCCTCAAACCAGTCAGTCCACCAGGTGGCACTACAGAAGAAGAAGAAAAAGAAAAAGAAGAAGAAGAAGAAGAACCGGAAGTCCAGTGACGACTGCAGTCATGGCGTCGACAGCAGCGACCCGAGCTGCCGCCGGAGCTTCTAAAGTTGTCAAACCCATTTTCAGCCGGGATCTGGACGAGGCGAAGCGGAGGGTCCGTGAGCTGTACCGGGCCTGGTACCGGGAGATCCCCAGCACCGGTATGTGGCTCTGTGTGGAGGGTAACATGATATAAACTAACAGAACCGGCGTCAAGGTCGTGTCTATGTGGAGCTTCAGCTGTACGTTAGCCGCTAGCTATCAGCAACACAATCATAACAATACACTTTGCTTCTTCTATATTTAATATAAACTTTAGTGGTGTCACTAATGAGTAGCCATGAAATATAATAGTCCATACCATGCAATATGTACTCCTTCCGATATTAATTCCACCATGGGCATAGGCTATACATGTTGGAAAGTATTACCCTGATATTGGTTTTTAATATAGGGAATCCCTCCATGCTAAGGTCCTTACTTTAATCTACAGCATATGGCTTTTACTATAAATATGACATGTTCATCTTACTTTGGATTGTATCTAAAACACCTCTTAAAAAAAGGTCATTTTGAAATGTGTGTTGTTTCCTGTTGATAGTTGTTTATAGCATATTGTGGAAACTTTCAACATTTAGATCCAGTTAATACACAAGACCAACAAGTGAGCTGGTTTACATTGTGTGCCAACTCAGCTTTGATACTAATAACAAACGTGTGCTTTTGATAAAAATCCCATTAGCGATGCTTTATTTGAAAGACATTGCACTGTTGCATTTAATTCTTAATATGAGCATAAATAACACCTACACATTTGATCTGTACAGAGGCACTCACCTTAGTATAAGAGTTGTAAAATATATCATAACAAATGTGTTCCTGGAACAGGTTGCTGTGGTGGGAAAAGGTGACTTATAGTTTGTATCCCTCTCTCTACAGTGGCTCTGTTTCAGCTGGACATCAACGTGCGTACGGGCAGAGACAAAGTGAGGGAGATGTTCGACAAAAACAAGCACGTCAACGACCCCCGAGTGATCGACATGTTGGTCATCAAGGTGAAGACAGCTCCTTAAATACCATACAATCATATTTTCTTTTAAAACGATACCTATTTAGTGCATTTAAGTACCACATTACATTAAATTAGACTCCAGACTAACCAAACTTTTGTTTGTCCCGAAAATGTACTTTGTAAATGTGATCCTAAATGTAATTATATCACAACATACAAGTACGTACATGTATTGCTTTGGAAAATTCTCTTTAAAACACCTGAATCTATTAGTTTTCGGAAGCCTAAATTACAAGATACATTCAAAACACATAATGGTTTAATTGACCTTTGCCCAATACTTTATTTGTTCTGCTAATGAACAGAGCTTCATTGTGTGTCTCCTGCATTTACGCTAGCAACAGTACTCGGCTGCACACCGGCTGGCTGACCATTTCCTCAACTCAGTGTTGACGGATCATGAATAAGACTTTCCCATCACAACTGAACAAACAAATGTGTGTATGCTACTTCATCTCCAGGGGAAGATGGAGCTCCAGGAGACGATCCACGTCTGGAAGCAGAAGACCCACATCATGCGATTCTTCAACGAGAGCCAAGAGCCTCGTCCCAAGGACTTCCTGTCCAAGTTCTACAGCGGACACGACCCATGATCCTCTGCTGACCTCTGACCCCGCTTTGCTTTGTCCTCTGTGACAGATATTCCCCTTTATTGTAAATACACACTTACAAACCCACACACCTGTTGTGTCTTTTGTTCTGAAGTGTATCTGAAGGGCATCTCAAATGAAAACTATGAGTGTTTTGGGACTTATTTAGATTTCCATTTGGGTTATTCTTTGATTGGTGGTTCATTTAAAGGAGTGTTTATGACAGCCTTGTTTAATCAACCCAGTCTCACAAAAAAAACGTGTAATGGCTACGTTGGTCCACAGGGCAAAACGTAGTATATTCAAAAATAACCCTCGAGACGTGACATGGATACAATATTTTGCAAAAGAAAACATGGAGCTCAAATAATCTTCGTAATATCGATCAAACTATGGATCCTACACATCCACTGGACGTCGATTCTAAAAGTACAATATACACTTCTCGCTAATGTAATCAAAAAGCATTTTAACGGCCAAACTATCAACAATTTAGGATTTTCCACTCTAAATAAATCGGGTGTCCGGAACGTTTTTTTTTTCTCACGCTAGGAAAGTTTGCGATCACGTGACATGGACTCTGCTCATTAGAAATGAATAGGAAACAAATATTATATCCATGTCATGTCTTGAGATGGTTATTTGTGTAATAGCTACGTTTTGCCCTGTGGACCAACGTAGCTATTACACGTTTTATTTTGAGGGTTGTGTTTAATTTATGATCAAGCACCACTAACTTGCAGTTAAGTCCACTGAACATGTGCTGCTGTTTACATTCCTTATTCTCTTAATGAAGACAGTAGAGTAGTGAATGTTAATACAGTAGGATACGCTCAGGGGTCAATAACAAAAGCAGAAATTCAGCACAGATGGATGCAACTTTTAAATTGTAGTAGAAGGAAGTTCTGAAGGGCAAGTTTCTGCTCATAGACCCGTCCGAGTGTTAGTGGAAACACATCATTACCTGAAGACAAATGAAAACGTTTCTTTAAACCTAGAAATTGTACTAATATGGCGTGGTACTATGCACCGCAGTTTTACGAAGAAAGGTCATCTCTTAACCAAGAACTCTGTACTTAAAGGTGGGGTAGGTAAGTTTGAGAAACCGGCTCGAGATACACTTTGTTATATTCCATGGAATGCTCTGAACATCCCGATATCCATGAATATCTGAAGTGCTTTGACAAAAAATCCATAAAAATATGTCATCTGTGGAAGCCGTAGCGCTGTAAAAAGCACGACCAATCATCCGAGCCGGCCCGGCTAAAGTAACTGGATGGCCTACCTGCCTGTCAGCCTTCCATCTGTGCACAAACTTATCTCGTGACCTGGTCATGTGTGTGTTGGAGGAGGGGCTCTGTGAGGAAGTGACAGATTTCTTCCGGCTGTGTATTTTCAAATTCTAGCGCACTCGAGGTGGTTTCTCCAAAAGTACCTACCCCACCTTTAAGAGCTTTCATACAGTGTGGGGAATAGATAATCAATCACAACAGCCCGATTCAAATACAACAACATTGAGACGGTGAAAGAAAGGACACACGATGCAGTCGGAACTGATTTTCATTCTTTCTCTTGCGATATGTGAAGTTGCAGATTACATTGAAATAACCATAACCTTTAGCAGCCACATATTCAGAGAAATAAAACAAAATGGTTGATATATAACCATATAAAATCTCACAACAGAGCATCAAATGAAACAATACACATGTTAAAGCAATGCAATAAATACTGTACAGCATTCAATATTTACAGTCACACTATAATGCTAACGTGATGAGCAGTCAGAAGAATATTAGTGGCTTTGAAATGAAACAACGCATGACCAACTAAATGAGAAAAGGGCCTTGGATGAAGCATAGGAGAGCTGAAAACTGTAAACACATGGACATGTTCTTCCATCAGGATTATTGAGCTTCACCATCACCATCAAAGCCAAACAACCGGAGAAACATTCAATGAAATATTATTACTCCCATAACTTAAATAAACATTTCATTGTACCAACATAATACAAACAATAGTACCAACACATTTTATACAGAAAGGAAATGTCAGGTACCGTAAAATAAATGTATACTTAGTGAACCAAACAGGATGTATGTACAGCTCCAGGTGGATCCTCAGTGTCTCTTTATTGCAGAACTCTCAACAAACGTTAGTCTCTTCCAGCCGTACGTGATTTCCTCAAGAGGCAGCACTTCATCACTAAAGCAACACACAAGAGAGATGTTTCATTGAGTGTAAGAGGTGCAGGGATGATGTATTTTTTTAAAGGCCACCTATTATACAAAATCCACTTCTTCATGTCTCTTCTACATCAACATGTGTCCCCTCTTCTCCATGTCTCTTCTACATCAACATGTGTCCCCTCTTCTTCATGTCTCTTCTACATCAACATGTGTCCCCTCTTTTTCATGTCTCTTCTACATCAACATGTGTCCCCTCTTCTCCATGTCTCTTCTACATCAACATGTGTCCCCTCTTCTTCATGTCTCTTCTACATCAACATGTGTCCCCTCTTCTTCATGTCTCTTCTACATCAACATGTGTCCCCTCTTCTTCATGTCTCTTCTACATCAACATGTGTCCCCTCTTCTCCATGTCTCTTCTACATCAACATGTGTCCCCTCTTCTTCATGTCTCTTCTACATCAACATGTGTCCCCTCTTCTTCATGTCTCTTCTACATCAACATGTGTCCCCTCTTCTTCATGTCTCTTCTACATCAACATGTGTCCCCTCTTCTTCATGTCTCTTCTACATCAACATGTGTCCCCTCTGTGGAAAGAGACTCTGAAAGTTTCAGGAACAAAGATTCTCTCTCTTTTTGTCCTGATCAATTTCTATAAAAACCTGTCTGAAAATGAGCTGATCAGATTTTGGCCACTTTATGATGTCATGACGATGTGTTGGCTTGTGTAACCATTAGCCAATCAGCAACCAAGGTACCCCCCCTTATCACCTGAATCTCCTCCTAGAGCACCATTGAGTTCTTTTTAACCAAATCTCTCTCAGAGGGGCGTGGGGAGGGGCTCCTTATTTTCATCT